CCAATTTTAGTTTTGTTTTATATTCTCCCTTTGCAATTTTATTAACAACAGCTGCATCCTCCATCCTGCTAAGCTAACAATTTTGGGACCCGCTGTCTATTTTTATCCCGCCCGCTATCTCTGTCACTCCCGCCCGCTCCCGCCCACGACAATCTAAAACCCGCCCAATCCCGTGAGATTTGCGTTGGGTCCCGCGGGACCCGCAGGATCCCGCTCCCAATGCAGGGCTCTAATCTCTGGGTCCACGGTTGTCGAAGCTGACCCTCCGATCAGCTGTGAAACACCCAATCTCATTGAGATTGCACGGGTGGTGAATCGGCTGGGGGTAGGGAAGGCTGCAGGGATCTGTGGTATCCGGGGTGAACTTCTCCAGGCTGGTGGTAAGGCTGTCCTCCTGGAATTACAGGCAATCTTTGCTTCCATTTGGGAGTCAGGCATCATCCCAACTGACTGGAAAACAGGACTTGTAGTCCCTATCTGGAAAGGGAAGGGTGATCGTGTGGATTGTGGCAACAACAGGGGGATAACACAGCTTTCAGTACTGGGTAAGGTACTTAACAGGATCCGTGATCACTTGCTTGTCTGTCAGTGACCGGAGCAGTCTGGTTTTACACCTAAGAAGTCTACCATCGACTGTATCCTTGCACTGAGAGTTCTCATCGAGCGCAAGCGCGAATATCGGCAGAGATTCTTTGCAGCCTTTGTCGATTTTCGTAAAGCGTTCGACTCAGTTGATCGAGTTGCCCTGTCGGACATCATGAGACTTCGCGGGATCCCCCCGAAGTTGCTGGACATCATGGCCTATACACTGTTACTGTGAGTGCTGTGCAGAGAGGAGGGAGAACCTCTGCGTTCTTCCCAGTTGATTCTGGGGTTCACCAAGGGTGTGTTCTTGCTCCTAATCTGTTCAATGCTTGTATGGACTGGGTGTTGGGGTCCAGCAGCTGTGGGGCATCTGTTGGTGAAGAAAGATTTACTGATCTTGACTTTGCTGACCATGCTGTGATCTTAGCGGAGTCAATGGAGGTTCTGATCAGGGCTCTCGAGAGACTGAGTGAGGAGTCTGAGTGTCTGGGATTGCAGGTGTTCTGGATAAAGACCAAGATCCAGGCATTTAATGACTTCTTGGGCACAGCCATCAGTAGTGTGTCTGTCTGCAGGGAGAATGTCAACCTTGTTAAGAGATTTACCTCAGCAGCGACATTCATGTCTCTGGTGACTCTTCCTATGAAGTCAGCAGACGGATGGGAAGAGCACAGGAGGTCATGAGGTCGCTGGAAAGGGGCGTGTGGCCCTCCCGATATCTTTGCAAGAGGATGAAGGTCCAAGTCTTTAGAGTCCTGGTCCTCCCTGTCTTGCTGTATGACTGTGAGACATGGACGCTATCCAGTGAGCTGAGACGAAGACTGGACTCCTTCGGTACTGTGTCTCTTTGGAGAATCCTTGGGTACCGCTGGTTTGACTTTGTGTCGAATGAGCGGTTGCTAGAGGAGTCCCAAATAAGGCACATTACCTGCATGTGGTGCATTTTCTTGAGGGTGATCCGGCTCGCAGGATCCTCATTGCTGAGGACCCAAGCAGCTGGACCAGGCCAAGGGGATTTATTTATTTATTTATTTATTTATTTAACCAGGAAGGTCCCATTGAGTTACAAATTTTTCTTCCAGGGAGTTCTGGCCAAGAGTGGCGGCTAGTTACAAGTACACTAAAGACAATAGACATACTACCAAGTACACTAAAGACAATAGACATACTACCAAGTACACTAAAGACAATGAAGCATATAACTACAAAATACAAGTCTCTCAAAAATACTAAGACAATGGACATACAACCACATACAATAAAAACTATGAAACAAACAACTACAAGAACACAAGTCTCACAAACATCATAGCCTAACACACAGGCTAAAAATCAATAACATCACACTTAATAAAAAAACATAATGAAAAATAAACATGAGGGCACCAAATTAAAAACAATGGCACTGTTCTGTAAGAGTTGATTTTAAAAGGTTTTTAAAAACATTGAGAGATGAAGTGACTCCAGATTTAAAATATTTTTGAGTTCGCTCCAGACATGGATGACAGGGACGCCCACGTATCACCTGGCTGCGGCAGATGGATGGCCACTTCCAGAGGGTGGGACTGGACCGTGTGTCTGCCTGGGGGATCGCTGGCCGGGATTCATTTCGGTTACAAAGTGGCACAGAGCAAGGCTTCTCCCCCCTTATTTTTGCTATCACCCCTTGAGCCGTTGCTATATGAAATAATATAAAAATGAAAGGTGTTCTAGCCGGGCAGCCGGAACATAAATTACCTTTATTTGCAGACGACATACTGTTGATGTCACGTGACCCGCAGTCCCAGAGATGTTGCTTGATTGATAGATTTTCACATATTTCAGGCTATAAAATAAATTGGACTAAGCCTGCAGTAATGTCTGTATCACACAGCTGCCCACAGCACTTAGTAATGGCTGTTCAAATGGATCTCATCAGGTATTAAACTTATACCAGACATTAGAGAAATTATGCAAGCTAATCTCCAGCCTGTTATACAAGATGTTGAGAACATGCTACTTAATTGGAGGAAACTGAAAATAACTTTATTAGGCAGGATTAATTTAATTAATATGATAATAATACTCAAAGTAAACTACACAGCTCATATGCCCCCCCTCACCCTTCCTACACAACTTTCAAAGGAATAAAATAAATGTGCTGAAGCATCCATATGGAAAGAGAACAAAATCCTGTATAATTGCACTAAATGATGCTGCCAGGGATAGTGGGGGACTTTCCCTCCCCAGGATAGATTGGTATTACTGCTCATTTTCGTTCTGACAGCTATCAAAAAGTTTCCTGCTGGAACACAAGGCCCCTGCGGGGGTTAAAATTGAAGAGGAGATATTTGCCCCCTCCCCAGCTGATGCCTTTATAACGCAGGCGGCTCTTTCCTCTTCTCCCTTAAACCCAGTCTTACAGATTCCAAGGGAAAAGCTGGGAAATGGTACATCGTCATATGAAAAGCTGCTCCTGCCTGACAACTGAAGCATCTGTTTAACAAAATACAGAAAGTTGAATAGCAGACAAGCCACTCTACTGGTGTCAATGTGTAAATGCAAGATCTTTACAAAGAAGCCCATATGGGTTCCTTTGGCTATTTAAAACATTATTAACAATGACCGGTGTGCAAAATAGGTCACACTATATATACAATGATTACTTTGTCTCATTTTTTACCACAAGTAAACACGCCAATAGAGCCATTAAGTCATCATACTACTGATAGTAGGATACACTCTACAGTATACCTATATACATTATATACCTATTGTGTGTCAGTGTTTTTTTTAATGTATAGGGACATGTGGGTGGGGAGGGTGGGTCTTTAGTGGTGTTTGTAAATTTAATTTCAAAATGTTGCATTGGGTATTTTTTTGTGACTGATTTGAAACAAAAAAAATAAGTTCTGATATAGCTGGGTGTCTTTAAATGAATTTCATACAAAAAAAATCCTCTGCATTTCTTCTTTTTGCGCATGTGGTGAGTGTATGCGTTTCCTTTTTGAGATTGGTTAGTATTGTCCTAAGACGGCACCCGTACTCTCCCCCTAACCGGCGGTGATACCGGCCTCTGCTCAATCTGTGGTTATCGCTGCTGGGAGGGAGTTTGTGCCCAAATCGGTTTGAAGGACGTTCATATTTTAAAGTAAAAACACTCACTTTTAGAATTAATCTCTGGTGTCCAATTTTGTGGTAAATATGTTTGTGGTGAGTATGTCTGATGAATGTCGTTGCTCTGTAATTTAATTTACCCTAATTAAGCCTGTTAGTTTAGCGCGCAGCATTTTGGCGGCTCTTCCCGCCGCCAGCCGACATTTCCTGAGGTATTAAACAGACCTGAATTCCCGTTTCATCAGGGGAAGCTCTGCTGTTTTCCTGTTGTACAGCAAAATAAAACACAGACTAAAGTGCATTGCGGTCCCAAGCGAGTTTGTCAGCGCTGCGTCTCTCACACAGCGCGGGGGCTACAGGAGTATATTGGGGATAAAATGTGTATCGGGGCAAGTTCTGTGTCGGTGTGTGAGGTGTGACAGTGATTAAATGGCGGAGATGCTGGTCTGCCTGATGGTATTAATCGCTCTTCCTCCTGCTTACAGACTCCTGCCAGCTGACACTGGACCCCAACACAGCACACAGAGGCCTGTCTCTGTCAGAGGGGAACAGGAAGGTGACAAGGGGGGCAGAGAAGCCATATCCTGAACATCCAGAAAGATTTGACACCGAACCCCAAGTTCTGTGCAGAGAGAGTCTGACTGGCCGCTGTTACTGGGAAGCTGAGTGGGATGGAGATAGAGCTGAAATAGGAGTGACGTACAAAGGAATCAGGAGGAAAGGATGGAGTGCTGATTGTCTGCTTGGAGCCAATGACAAGTCATGGAGTTTGCGCGGTGGTCCTCGCAGTTACTCTGTCTGGCACAAGAATGAACAGACTCCCATACCCATACGGCCCTCAGGCTCCCGCAGAGTAGGAGTGTATCTGGACTGGGGGGCTGGTGCTCTGTCCTTCTACAGAGTGTCCTCTGATGAACTGACCCTCCTGCACAGATTCACCTCCTCATTCACTGAGCCCCTCTATCCAGGGTTTGCGGTTTATTATCCAAAGTGCTCAGTGTCGTGGTGCATGCTGGGATAGCTCACTGCACGCCGGAGGAATAATTTTTACTCTGTCTCAATGTGATGTGTTGATGCTTCTCCATGGTAAATCTCTGATTTTTTACATGTATAACCCTTTTTACTCTGAAGTGTGGCTGATGTTAAACAGCTTTTTCTCTTTGACTGAAATATACCGAAATGTAATCCTTTTGGGGGGGGGGGGGGTTTCTGTTGAGATCAATTCCCATATGTTCTCTTCGAGTGCTCTTTAATGCACGGTTGGGATTCCTTTTGAAGGGGGGGGAGAGATAAGGTAACCCGCTCCCCTATGTATGTACATTTTATATATTTTTGTATATATTGTATTTTCCTCTCTACAATGACAATAAAGGCCTTCTACTCTATCCTGTTAATGTCCGGATTCATCGGTACCCAAAGCATAGCAGAGTAACATAATTAAACAGATGGTACTGGTGTTATTAATCGCTCTTCCTCCTGCTTACAGCCTGCTTACACAATGCTTAAAATTCACTTTAATACTACAACTGAGCATAATGCACTTGTAGACTAAATCGGCATATATAATAACCGTTTAACTGCAGACAACTGAGAAAGCAAAAAACATCTGTAGAGCTGGAAACATAAAAACAATAAATCACATTAAAAACATACTGTCATGCCCTGCATGCCTGTTCCCCTGTGTTCCCTGTTGTGTGGCGCTAACGAGCCTCACCTGTTCCTCATTTAACCCTGCCTCTCATTACAGCCCTCGTGTGGATGATCCCAGGTGCCTCTCGTCTGCTCCCTCGTCTGCTCCTCATTGCCTGAACCTGATCCTCTGCCAGCTCACATTCTCAGTGAACACTGTACTGAATTGTCAGCAACCATGGTACCTGCAGTTTGGAC